TCTGGCACCGATAACATAATGTTGGTATGAATATTGAGGTGATAAGCTGTCTCTTTGTGTCCATGGAGATGTTTGGATGAGATAGGAGGGGTGCGAGCTGGTAGGTGACAGCGTTGGCTTTTTGAGTTCGCATTTCTATTTCTCTACGGACCCATTTTCAGAAAAAGTGCTGCCAAGATATTTAAACTCCTTCACCTGTTTCAGTTGTTTACTATTGACATGGATGTTCAGGGGACTACGGTTTCGGCTCACTTTCATAACTTCTGTTTTTGATGTGCTTATTTTCATGTTGAATTTCTCACAGGTGTTGCTGAGTTCCGTAGTGTGATTTTGGAGGCTCTGTTGGTCATGTTACTAGAGTGGCCATATCCCAAAGACTATTTGAGATAACTGAAAACTTATTTTACAACAAACAAACAAACAAACAAACAAACAAACAAACAAACAAACAAACAAACAAACAAACAAACAAACAAAAAACAGTCACCAGGAAATGCAGTAGACTACGAAAAATAAAGAAATACACATTGGGGCCGTTTTCTCGGACTCACATTTTCAGAAATACCACCAATTTTACAATAATACTCCAGGTAAGTTTGGAGTTTCCACCTGAAGTCTGTTTGGCCTTGGTTGGACTATCATTATTACGTTCAGATTACTTCATACTACATAACACCTCGTGTGGGATGGACATTTAGGTGTAGAGTTTGGAACATGCAAACAGAGACACAGGAAACATACACTTCAACCCTTTGTGGGACGTGTATAGATATACACCAAACAAAATCAACTTGGGGAGTTAAATCTATAAACCTCTGATATTGTTATCCATCTCAAAAACTCGTGACACATTTATTTATCTTCGTGATATCGTGGAGGTCAGGAGTCAGTGTCCGCAATATATATATATATATATATATACATATATATATATATATATATATATATATATATATACGGTCTATGCGGACACTGACTCCTGACCTCCACGATATATATATACACCCCCCCCCCCTCCATCTGTCTATGAGCGACTCACCTCAGTACATGTAATAGTAAAAAAGACAATAAGATAGGGCCTAACAACAGCAACAACAGCAACAACAACAACAACAACAACAACAACAACAGCAACAACAGCAACAACAACAACGACGATGACGGTAATAATAATAATAATAATAATAATAATAATAATAATAATAATAATAATAATAATAATAATAATAATAATAATAATAACTAATTATTATTACTTTCGTCGTTATGATGATGATGGTGATGATGATGATGATGATGATGATGATGATGATGATGATGATGATGATGATGATGATGTAATGACAATAACAATGACAATAACAATAACAATAGCATAAGGTCATATGAACGCGCAAGACACATTAAACATTTTCAGTTGGTAGGAAATTTTGAAATTTGCCCGAGTGGAGGCCGAATTCTACTCTTATCGATTTTAAACCTCCAAGGGATTTTTAACGTGCGCAACTTGCACTCTGGATGTCCGAGATTTTCCGCCTTCGTCCGAGAAGGCTAGGTGTAGATCTTTCCTATCAGAAGACCAGGGGTGTGGCTGAAAGCCAAGGGGTAGCAGTAGAAAGGCTGCAGAAAGAGTCAGGGGCCCAGAGGAGGGGACAAACGAGGTGAGGGGGTGGGGGCAGAAAGTGGAGACGAAAGCAGACGACAGAACGTTGCCAGAGATCAGGAAAGGGGGTGAAAGGAGACAATTTTAGAGAAGAAAATGTCTCAGTCACTACCCGGATTCGAACCCGGGACCTTGGAATGAGAGGCGAACTCGTTAACCTCAGGTCACGAGAGCCCCCAAACTGTTTTTATTACAGTTCTTTAAATCTGTGGAATAGGTTACATGAGTTCAAAAAATATTTCGAAGGACCAGGGAACAGTGACAGTAATTCTAAAAACAGGGCTTTGAAAGTAAAAATCCAATTTTTTAAAAAAATAAACGTAATTTTGAGAAAGCAAATTCTGAATTTTGTAAGATCAAGGAAAAATATTTTTGTTTTTGTATCTTACTTTGAGGGCAGCGGACAGACTCGTTTGAAGAAAAAACAGGAGTGAGACAGGGATGCTTGTTATCGCCTTTTCTCTTTTTATTAACAGTGGATTGGATAACGAGACAGAAAACATCGGGACAACGCGGTGGCATACATTTGACCCTTTCCAGTCAGTTGGAAAACTTGGGCTTTGCCGACGACTTGGCACTTCTTTTTCACAGTCGAGCCCAGATGCAACAGAAAACAGATCGCCTCAGGACCTTCTGTGGAACTCCATATGCACACGGAAAAAACGAAAGTTCTTCGAATGAATGCAGCCGACGTTCCTATCACACTGTAAGGGGCACCTTTGGCGGATGTTGAATCCTTCACCTACCTGGGAAGTGTCATCAACAAGGCAGGGGGAACAGACGAAGACATCAAGGTCAGAATCCAAAAGGCAAGAGCAGCATTCATCATCCTCAGGAATATATATATTTTTAATGGATGTCTAAGGAACTGGGATTGAACACCAAGCTGATGATCTTCAAAACAAACGCGAAGACTGTTCTACTGTATGGTTCAGAGACATGGAGGCTCACAGCATCAGCAGCAAGGAAACTGCAGAGCTTCATAAATGGATGCCTAAGAAGGATAGTGGGGATCAAGTGGTACGATCGAGTCACAATATGCTCAACTGTGGGAGAGAACAAGCCAAAGGCCAGAAAATGAAGACATACAGATGAAGAAATGGAAATTCATTGGACACACCCTGAGGAGACCCCCGACAAGCATCATCAGACAGGCTTTGACGTGGAATCCACAAGGAAAACGTAAGAAAGGAAGACCAAAGATGACATGGAAATGGGAAAGGCGGGGATCAACTTAATGAAAACAGCTAGAAAAGGATGCACAGGACAGGCTTCGCTGGAGAAATTAAATGTTGATAGCCTATGCTCCATAATTGGAAGTTAAAAAGGACAAGAGAGAGAGAGAGAGAGAGAGAGAGAGAGAGAGAGAGAGAGAGAGAGAGAGAGAGAGAGAGAGAGAGAGAGATTTGTATTTTTGGAAAGTTAGAAAATGAGAGTTGCTCTTTTAAGCTCAAGAGATTTTCAGTTAACGCTTGTCGCCACCCTATGACTTTGCGCATTTCGTTTCCTCTAAACTCGACAGTAGCGAATACCTACTCTGGGTGTTCTCGTGGTCTCGGAAAAGGGAGAAAAAAAAATATCGGGTTCCTGTGTGCAAGTTGCGCGCGTGAAAGACCCCTTTCGCGCACTCATATGACCATAGCATTATGCAGTTGCGAGCGCCGTGCGTAAAACACTTACCCCTCC